CATTAATAGAAAATTTAAAAATACAAAGGCAGACAGATTTCTGTTAGGATAATGTGATGATATTTAGTCAACACTTTGTTCTCTTTCTCTTCTATTGACATACATATAAACTCTTGTTTTCTTCTAGCGTTGTTTGGGAAACTAAGCGAAAATAGAGTTGAATGCCCATTAACATGTAAACTAAAAGCATGCTCATAAAGCACACCAGGATACATCGACAGCATTACATTTTTTATGTAGGATTATCTGATTGAAAGGGATCATTGGTGAACTTGTCTTAAAACCTTTTGAATGGCAAGTACACTGAGAATTAAGTGGTGCAAGTGGTTGGACCCCAAAGGAACTTGGTTAGCCTTGCTAAAAAATCTCCGCCAACCCCCAAAAGAGTTCAAATTTCCTCCCCCTTTTCCAAAATCCAATAATGGTTTTCTGGTTGTGCATGTAAAGGAGTTAAAAAGTTGTCACTCTGTCCTAGCTAGTAAAGAAAAAAGAAAGGATTACATCGAAAAATCAACAGTTACAGTTCTTAGAAGAAGTCAAGTCACATGCCTTGAGACTGGAGAGACAGGCAGATAAACAGAGAGACAACTCAAAATTATTTGAACACAATCAGGTGCAGAACCCTCTGTGGAACCAGCACCAAGCTAGAAACAACTGAATTGTAACTGACAAATTTCTGGAGGCTCAGTGCAGGTAACTACCATTTAAGAACCCCAGAACTACCAAAAAATAGCAAATGTAGGCAAGGATTTGGAGAAACAGAAATCTTACATACTATTCGTGTTTAAATTATCTGCATGCAAAAGAAAAAAACTAAAAATCTAACTCAGAAAGATGTAAAATCATTCTTGTACATATGTAGCATAATTCTTTTTGTAGAAAACTCTAAAGCACTACAAAGTAACAATGTTAGAATTAATAAATTCAGTGAAGTTGCAGGATACAAAAATCAGTTTCATGTCTTTCTAACAAAAATTACCAAACCCAAAGGGAAATAATACTACTCATAATAGCATAAAATAAATAAAATCCTTGGGAATAAATTAAATCAAGGAAATGAAATATTCAAGCACTGAAATTTTTTAAACATTGATGGAAGGCAGGAATTAATAAGAGGATATCCCAGGCTAATAGGAAGTAACACTGTTTAAATATTGAAATAGTATCAAACAATGCATACATTCAACACTATACTCATCATATCCAATAGTATTTTTCACAGATATAGAAAAAGACCAATACCTAATTTCACAGAGTCACAGAAGAAATAAACGCAAAGTAAGAGCGAGTACATGAAAGGAACATCTATCAGAGTAGCAAAAGGTCAAGAAAAGCTTCAGACCTGGTGATTCTTAATCCCCAAAGATTAGAGGGGAAGGAAATGGCAGACAAAAATAGAGTGGAAAACGCTTTGGTAAAGCAAATAATTTAGTATAGCTGAAGCTGGGAAAAGAGAATTAAAAATAAAAAACACATTTGTAGGCTGATAGGAAAAGTCAAATTACAGAGAATTTCATATGTCATAAATGAGAGTCATTGAATAGCAAGAACAGACTCATGTGCTTTCTTTCAAAAGAGCTCTGACAGTATTTAAACAATGAACTAGGGAGCTTCCTTCTGGCTAAGAGGAAAGCACAGGGGAAAATCTTTTCTTAGATATAATACCAAAAAAAAAAAAAGTTCATAGAAGGAAAACACTGATGAAGTAGATTTCATTGGAATTTTAAAGTGTAGATCAAGGATAATTATTTATGAATTCTATATCCAATAAAGGATGTATACTTACAATACAAGTTAAATAAAATTTCATAATCACTAAGAAATAACCCCATTTATCAAGGTTTTTAACAGACACTTTACCAAAGAAGAAATACAAATAGAAATTAATCACATAGTTTTCGGCTGGTATGTAGCTCAGTGGTAGAGCACTTTGCCTCCAATGCGTTAGATCTTGAGCTCCAGACCCTGAACCACAACAAAAGGAAACAAAAAATAAAAGAAGCACGTGGAAAAACAACCATCTGGGAAATGAAAACTAAAACTGTGATGAGATCATTGATAATACATTCATAAGGTAATGTCTGTAAGAAAAAGACTGATTTTTCCAATTGTCAGTGAGAATAGGGAAGTATTGGAAATTCCATGCCTTGTTTGTAGGAATGTAAATGGTACAACCATTTTATAGAGAAATTTGACAATTTCTTTAAATTTAACTATGTTCCTCCTATCCTGCCATTCTATATCTAAATATACTCCCAAGATAAGGAAAACCATATGTTTAATTTTGGTTAATTAAATTTATTTCACAATTTTATACCTGTTTTATGCCCACCATCTCTTACTCCTTCCCATTCCTGTCATCCCAGCTCCCTCTGTATGGGTCCCTTTCCCATGTTCCTGTCCTTTTATTTGTTTTGTGACCCACAGAGCTTAACCATGGCCATCTGTCTGACGACAAGTGTGGAATTACACAATGAAGCCTGGTAAGCTCACCAGTGGCTGTATACCTGAAGATACTGACTCCCCCTCCCTCAGAATCCTTCAGGGAGGGTTAGGACCCCATGAGACCCTCTTGTTTTTATATATCTATTCAAGCTTTATTTATAATAACCAAAGAGAAAAATAGACACAAATGAACATCAGCAGGTGAATGGATGAACAGAAGTGGTAAATCCATGCAGCATAATACTGCTCAGCAATTTAAAAAATTAATGACTGGTGGGGATGGAGGGCTCAAAGTTAAAAGTACTTACTCTTCTTGCAGAGAACAGGGGTTCAGTTATCATCATCCACATGGCAACCCCAGTTCCAGGGAATCTGATGCCCTCTTCTGGCATCCACAGGCTCCTGCACACATGTGGTGCACTTACACTCACATAGGCACACATATACACATTAAAAAATAAATAATTTTTTAAATTAATGATTGATACACAAAAAACATGAGTGAATCTCAAAATAATTACACTAAATGAAAAAAATCAAAGTGTATACTGTATGATCTCATTCACATAAATCCCTAGAACATGTTCCCTAGAACACACTAACTAATCTTTAGTGTCTATAAGCAAAGACTCAGTGGTTACCTATCCCAGGGAAGTGGCAGGTGGCCAAACAAAGAGAGAGGCAAAGAAGAGCAGGTGGGGCATGAGGAAATCAAGGGCAGTTGGCATTCACTGTCTTGATTGTGCTTATGGCTTTACAAGAGTAATTCATTTATCAAAACATGTCCATATGTACAATTTAAATACATACTTGCTCCAGCTCTCACCTGTTCCATGCCTTGCTCTGAATGCTTTCTCTGATTCATCTTTCTTTTTTTTCTTGTCTTTTTGAGACAGGGTCTCCCTGTAGCCCCAGCTGTCCTGGAACTCACCAGGCTGGCCTTGAACTCACAGAGATCCACCTGCCTCTGCCTCCCGACTGCTGGGATTAAAGGCATGTGCCACCACGCTTCATCTTTTTTTTTTTTTTAAGTTTTATTGAGGCTTAACTACCATACAACAAACACTGCAACTGACAAGGTTAAAGATGACTGAAGAACATCTATGGCGTGAAGGGGAGGGTTTATGATTGTTTTGCAGTAAACTTGGTTGGATGCTTCTTTCATTCAGACTTCTATACCTATGGCGTGGGAAGCTAAATAATCATCAAGCAAAGTACAGACAGAGGCACAGGGCTGAGGGGAGGTTTGGTATACAATGAGTTCAGTTTTGCATGTGAATTTTCTGGGTTTAATATCCTGAGTTACTTTCAGCCATACCCCCACACAGTTACCTCTTCTGATTAGTTTCTGCATTTGCTTTGAATGAATTGTTATGTATTTTCCCATGATCATCTTTCTTTTCACCTTTCTCTGTTCTCCTCACCCATTTAAATTTATATCACAAAAAAGCAGAGTATAAGAAACATATAATGGGGGCTGGAGAGATGGCTTGGCAGTTTAGAGCACTGGCTGCTCTTGCAGAGGATCTGGGTTTGATTCCCAGCACCCACGTGGCAGCTAACAACTGTCTATAACTCTAGTTCCAAGGGATCCAACACCTTCTTCCGACCTCCTTGGGCACTGCACAACACTAGTGAACCTACCTACATGCAGGCAATACATATAAAATAAAAAATAATAAATAAATAAAAATTTAAAAAGAAATACATAATGATTGCAAGATTAGATCTTTCTTTAAAATTCTTTAACTCTGTATTTTTACATATACTTAATAAATCACCTTTCAAAATATTGAACTTAAACATAGTAGTGAATGCCTTAACCCTGGCACTTAGGAGAGGGAGCAGAACTACAAGTGTTAGGCCAGCCTGAGATGCATAACAAGACCCTGTCTATAAAGACAAAAAAATTAGTAAGTATTTAGTGTAAGCAAGGCACTTGTGAAACAATGTGTGTGTGGGGGGGGGTTACAGACTTGGTCCCCTCACAGAATTTATAATCTAGTTAAACAGAAGAAACACTAAAAACTAGAGCAATGGGCATTATGATAGAGTTACACAGGGTCCACTCTAGGCACTAGCAGCAGATTTTTAAAAAGGACTTCTTGAATAAACATGTTTTACTGATTTCCTAAATGATGATCACCACTTAACCCATCTAAGACCCTAGAGATGCTTCAGGAAGCGTGGATGTATATATAAAATCCCTGTAGGCAAAAGAGAGTCTTTGAGAACTGAAAAAGGTTCAGCACAGATGGAGCACAGAATACACCTGAAAAGATACAAGTCTAGAATGAAAACAGACAGCAGGTTCTGTTAAAATCTTTGAAACTCTGGACTAGGCATAGTGGCACACATCTTTAATGCCAGCACTTGGGGAGCAGAGGCAGGTGGCTCTCTGTGAGATCAAGTCCAGCCTGACCAGCTGGGTGGAAAACACAGTCTAAAAGAAACAAAAAACAAACTTTTAAAATCTTAAACAATATATGTATATTTCCTTAATTAACTACTTATGCATTTTCAATTCCTATTATATGTTTAAAAGGCTAAATTGGGTGCTCATTTCAGCAGCACATACTAAAAAATTGGAATAATACAGAGATTAGCATGGTCTCTGCCCGAGGATGACATGCAAGTTCATGAAGCATTCCATAGTTTTGAAAAGAAAATCAGCCTATCTGCTTGTCAATCTTCTCTAGGATTTTTTTTTCCTGTCTTCTGGATATTTTCTATATATGTTCAATAATAAACACAACTAACTTAAAAAAAAAAGGCTAACTTGGAAGGCTAGGACTGTACTCAGTGACAGAAACTTGTTTAGCATGCACAAGGCCCTAGTTACTTACATCCACAGTATCACAAAAACAAAAGCCAAAAGGCTAATTTTTCATTCACCACGCATTTTGACCAAAGCTTCCCACCAGATCTGTCTTTCATATTTAAAAAACCACAACTATAAATCAAAGATATTAATATGTAGTAGATTTATTCTAGTCAGGTATTAATTCAGATTAAAATCAAGAAGTAATGAATTCCCCACCTGTTATTAGCTGAACTTCATGTATGAACACACTTGTTTTCAACTTAGCTCTTTAAGTCATTTAATAAATAACTGAGTGTTCCAGGTGAGAGGTGAGGCAGGGAAGACAGAGGATAAGGAGCCAGTTGAAATGACTCTAACACAGAAGTATTATCTGGGTGAGAAACTAGAGAAGATCTTGATGAAATGGACAGATGTGTGAGGCCACTCATGGGTATGATGCCAACAATAAAATACAAAAGGAGAGGACAAAAGGATTTCCCAAAGAATCACATGAGCAGATACGTACTCAAAATATACAGATGGTTTTGTGACTGGAGAGCTGATTATAGGGACAGTGTTGGAAATAATGCTGAAAAATATGTATGTTTGCTGGGTGTGGTGGTTCACACCTTTAATACCAGCACTCTAGAGGCAGAAGCAGGTGGATGCATCTCTATGAAATAGAGGCCAGCCTGGTCTACATAGTGAGTCCAGGACAGCTGAGGCTACATGGAGACCCTGTCTCAAAAAGCAAAACAAAAAAAAAAGTGTTATGCTTAGGTTTAGGCTTAAAAACTTAAATTCTATTCCTCATGCAAATTCCTACTGAAAATTTTTTATTTCATGTATTATTATTTTTGTATGTGTGTTTGATGTGTGTGTGTGCACTCATGTCATGATGCACATGTGGAAATCAGAAGATAATGTTGTGGAAGTGGTTTTCTTCTCTCACCTGCAAGCAAGTTCTGAACCAAATTTAGGTCAACAGGCATACATGGGAAGCACTTTACCTGCTGAGCCATCTCTCTGGTCCTCTGCCAAAATTTTTTGAAGAAAATTAACATATTTCCTCAAGTTTAAAACACAGTTCATATCACATATCAATCTGCTAATTGTACAATGATAACAGCTAAATATGTCATTTCACAAATATTAAAATGTGAACAATGTAGAGTTTAGAACTGATGAGAATTGGTAGTGATTGCAAAAGCCTGATGATCTTATACATGATAAAAAAAAACGTTTGATAGTTCGTCTACCCTTTTAAAGTCTCCTCTTTACAGAGAGAGGAATTCTGTGTTCTTAAAGAAAAGTGAACATACAGTCAAGGTAAATTAAAATAGCAAGGTATTGGGCATGGTGGCGCACACTTTTAATGCCAGCACTTGGGAGGCCGAGGCAAGCAGAACTCTGTGAGACTGAGGCCAGCCTTGTCTACATATTAATTAGTTCAAATATCTGGGCTTTACCAGTTGACATTGCCAGTGTGGTTGGAGGAAATTTCACAAGGTCCCACCTCAAGATGAACAGCTACAATCAATGGCTGCTGAGAGAGGGGGAATCAGTCTTCTCCAGGGATAAGCCCCCTCATAAGTTACCCAGTCCTAAGCATGTGTACATATGCACACCCTTACATGGACTCAATAGGGCGTGTGTGTTGAATGGGTGTGCATATGGTGTGTGCGCACGTGTGTGTGTGCATGTGTGTGTGTGTTTATGTATAACCATAATAAAATGAAATTGAGATGGAGGGAAGGCATGGGAAAAGTTGGAGGGGGAACAGAGCAGGGTGGAAATGATGTAAATATATTACTTATGTATGAAAAAATTTAATTCTCAAAAAGTAAAGAAAATTAAAATCTGGGTTTTGTAATTTGTAACATTCCCTAGTTTTGTAATTCAGGAAGTTAATTTAATGATGCCAAACACTTCACAATTTCTGTAAATATGAGTTTGTCTCAAGAAATTCATTTCTGGGGGCTGGAGAAATGACTCAGGGATAAAGAGCATGCACTGCTCTTCAGGGGACCTGAGTTTAGTTCCCAGCACCTACATTAGGTGGTACCTGTAGCTCTATCTGACACCTCTTATGGCCACCGTGGGCACTGTACTCACTTGCACAAACCCACACAGAAGCAGACATATATGTACAATTTAAAAGAAAAATAAATTTTAAAAACTCTGTCTCTCAAGGCCATACCCTAAATATCTTATAAGAAATCTATTTTTCAAACCTATGCTATTTATTACAAAATGGCCCAGAACAACAGCCGCAAGATTATAGAATTAAATGGGAAGAGTCACAGAAACTGTAATGTCAAAAACACCTCCCTGATGGTATTCCTCACACAACCCTCCTCCCAGCAAGCCATGCAGCCTCTGCTTCCACACCCTTTTCTGCTAAGCTGCAACCAGTAAGGACAAAGATTCTGTCTCATTCACCACTGCAGCTCCCTGAGTAGTATACTATGATCAATAAATGTGCTCCAGTGAATGAGCGTTCCTACAGGCCCATAGGGGATTTGTACCACTCATAACAGTGTCCATCTTTATGGAGAGCTACAACGTTTGAGAAGTCTGTTTGAACAGCAATAAAAGCTGCTTTCAGTGAGTACCTTCTAATAGTCTGCTTGCTTCCCTTGGTAAACCCTGCACTCACTTGAAGACAGCTTCTCCAAGCCAAACTTTCCAATTTCATCCCACAACTTTCCATATATTATTGTTTCTAACACTATTTACTCCATCCTGTATAAGGTACCTTTGATCAAGTCTTCTTTTGAATTTGAATGACATATACTTCCCATGTTACTGAGCCAGTCCAAGGAAAAAAGTTCTCTTACTGAATCTATACAAACCTTTCAACTATTGGGGAAATTAGATTAGAAGGAAACACAATGCTAATGCAGGGCCCTTCAGAAAACACTAACAGGTAAAATCATGAACTCCCCTCCCGCTAGTAGGCTTTATTTATTTTTTAAGAATGCTTGTGTGCAGGGAGTTTGATAAGAGAAAGTGACTGAATCCCCCATGGTCTTGAACTCATAGTAAAATACTTTTGAGAGGCTTTTTTTTTTTTTTTTCTGAATGAAGGCTAAGAAATCATTCATTCAAACTGAGAGGTTCTGAGTCGCTCATCTGCATGGTGAATTAGAACTGCCAGCGGTGGCCTGAGTATGAATGGGGATTTAGTAATTTAGTAACATGAAATGGAATGAGTTTAATTGCTCTGGAGAATTTTTTCTATTTTTATGACATATGAAATCATGGACCCATTCACCTTAATGTTATGTAATGAGGCCTATAAAAGCACTTTGTTGACAATGCTTTTAGAGAGTCCAATCTTATGGAAAAATCTTACCATTATTCAAAGCATTTGTACACCTTCCAGAATCCTAGAAATTAAGAGGATCCTGAACATTGAAAAGTAATGTCCTTCTTCCCACCATGGTTAATGAACTGGAGATTCAGGGGACAAAAGGGAGAAATATTTCTTGAGTCATTTCGAATCTTTAGATATGGCACATACGCTTCTTTACTAGTGTCCTTAAGTTGAATTGAATCTTGAAATGGTCCAAAATATAAGTCTAAAAAGAGATACTAACTGAGATGGCAGTGTGGGACCAAGATTAGTTTAAAGGAAAAAAAATATTTTATGAACTTATAATTTTCTATTGAAAAAAGTCCAAGGAAAGAAATGTCATCTTAAAAAACCAAAGGGTAAATTAAAGAAATTAATAGCAAGGAGCTGAAGAGATGACCCAGCGGTTAAGAGCACTGACTGCTCTTGCAGAGGACCTTGGTATGAATCTCACCACCCACATGGCAACTAATAACCATCTGTAAGTCTAGTTCCAGGGGATGTGACACCCTCTTCTAATCTCTGTAGGCATTGCACAACACAGATGCACTTACATACATGAAGACAATACACTCATGCACATTAACTAAAAATAATAAATAAAATATTTTTTTAAAAGAAAGAAATTAATAGCAAATTGAAGGAAGAATAACAACCTATTCTTTCCCTGCTGGGTTAATACAAAAGCATAACGGTAATGACATTCGAAGGCAGTAAAGGTGTCATCAGTACCATTTCTTAATTTGAGTTCATAAAAACTGGAAGAAGTAACCTAGAAATGTTCATTAAAATTTAAAATGTGCATGCTTTTGAACTAACAATAGTACCTTTATAGCCAGAAAGCATATTACCTGAGATAAAGGTCCAAAGATGTTTGCTACTGCTCTTTTTGTTACAGTGAAACACTAACACTAGAAGAGCTAGATGTTGACAATCAGGTTTAATAAATAATATTACTCAATACTAAAGGAATGCATTTTCACAAGTAATTTTAAAGTTAAAGGATAATGTGCACAATATAGTCTCTTTTCTGTAAAAATTGACCCAAAAAATCATATGCGTACTTATAAGTCAGTGTAAGTATGGCATTTTTACCACTTCTTATCTCAGGGCAGCACTAAGAGGTGACTTAAGGGGACTTTAGATCTCCTACATTAGTCTCCTTAAAAATCACTTAATGCAAAAAATGTGAAAGAATGTGCTTACTTTTACACACAGCTCCAAGAAAGTTTTTCCTTTCCCACCTCTTCTCTCCAAGCTACAGCACATTAGCATTCCTCCATGAGATTCTGAAGTCTCCTAGTGACAGGCAAGTAAAACGTGTTTTCATATAATAAAAGCTCATGAAAGCAATACTTATATTTTAACTTTCTAAAAATTGTCTTTTAATATTTAGAATTTAAGATGAAATTCTAAAAAAAATCTTTAAGTCTTTAAAACATAAATATTTAAGAACTTGTACAACATGCCAGGGATTTGTTTTATTTTGCTACATTAGGAAAGACATTGCCCAATCCATGTTTGTTTGGTTGATCAGTTAGTTAGTTAGTGGCATTTCTCTTTGTTTTAAAATTGTAGCTAAAGTCTAGAATTTGTCAGCTCTGCCAGAATAAGAAAGGGTCAGAATGAGTCTCAAGTCAGTCCATAGACACTGCAATTTTTCTCTGTCTTAAAAGTTTATCTTTCTGCATTAGCCTCCACACTTGCCTACCATATTTTTCATATAAAAATCAAACCCAATAACAAAAAGAATCATTTTAACAATTAATTTTCTAGGAATTAGGAAAAACTTGTACAAGCTGCTGGTCCTTCATTCTCACAACTATTTTTCATCTGATCCCAAAGTGTCTACTGTGGGATAGAGTCTTCTCTGTGAAGATATAACTTGGGTAATTTAAGCTTTAGTCTCATTGAAACTCAGGAGGCTTATACATAAAAAGAACTTAGGTGCATTGTATCAAAATGTTCCATATTGGATCTTTAATAAGTCTAAGCCTTAAGAAGGTGAGGATCCTGTCTTTTATTTCATTATTTCCAGGGTCTAACAGAGTGATTGACATACAAGGTGTTAATAGCTGTTCATTGGATGAATGAAAATGTAAACCTGAGCATTTAACATACTTCTTGTAAGTCAAATAATATGTCATTAATCTCTTAAATTTGTTTGCCTCTTTTGTAATGTAAGGTTGAGACTGTATATGAGAATCAGTTAAGGTAACAAAAGTAAAAATTTATGAACCACAAAGTACTATGCAGTGAGGCCTGTATGGAGAACATTATTGAAATAGTCCTGGTCCAAACTGATGGTCTTTGCAAATGATATTCATAGTCTCACAAGTTTACTACTGGAGAGATTCATAGTCTCAGAAACATCAAAGTAAGGGTTTTCATATCTGATTTCCCAAGACAACAAACGTGGAGCACAGTGAGTTCGTTTTGAGGGTTTGTAATGGTGCATCTGAATGCTCTCTTACTCCCTCCCTTTGCTCCTGTACTGCTGAAACCAGACACCAGATACATTTTCAGCAGGCATTAAGGTCTCAAAAGATTGAAGGCTAGATACTTTAGAGGTAGTTACACAAATGATAAATGATCTAAATACAGCATTTGTTACATTAAAATACTAAACATAAAAATTGAATTCAGCAGTTTTCTTCAACTTTAGTGATTTCCAGAGTCTAAAAAAATTCTTGGCCAGAGATAGAAATAGGATGTCAATGTGGAAATGTCACTGAAGGGGGCTTTGACTGGGTCACTAATTTACCTCATGACCACATGTTATCTTACCTTTGCTTCAGTTCACTCTAAGATTCAAGGGAGTAACTAACAGTATCTCTAAGATCACTTTCTTCTCTAACATCTTAAACTTTTATGATTTAATTCTATTGCTTTTCAATTATAATTCTACTTCAAGCCCAAAAGCAGCAGCAACAACAAAGAAAAGCATAATCCTGCATTCTCGTGTCTGAAAGGGCAGTTGGCATCTGAAACAGCCATATGATGGTCTTCATAAACACAAGATGGAGTCAGTATTGAGATCGATCAGTCCATTGTATACATACATTAATTAAATTAAGCAAATGCTCCTGTTCTGGTTTTGTTCGAACAAATACTAAACCGTGCGAGAAATAGCATGCAGATATAATAATCACTAACGTAGTTTACCCTTCAGCATCTTTCCTTTCCATCTGAAAACCAAACCCTTTCCAGACATGTTGCTTTACTGTACTATTCAGGGATAAGAGCCTTCTTTAACTAGGGGAATGTAAGGAGAAATGTGCCTGTCCCCCGCATTCAATCTCTGAGCAAAGGATGCCCACCACCTGCTGCTTCCTACACTCCAAAACTCCTGCTCCAGCTGTTTCCCCGGAAGAAAGAAAGGTGGAGGGGAGGGGAAGAAGATTGGTGAGAGCAAGAGGCGGGGAGCGAGGAGAGGAGGCAGGAGGAGGCGTGGCCCGGCTTGGGGCCATCCGGATAAATACTGACAACTGGGTGGGGGTGCAGAAAACTCCGGAGGACGCCCGAGCCGAGCAGCACCGCGGACAGCGCCCGGCCACACCGCCCCAGTTCTACCTGCGCAGCCTTCCTGGCCCTGGGGTTCGTGCCCAGTGCTCTCGGAGGACACACTCCCACACTTACACACACCTAGCGGCACAATGGCAGAATCCCACCTGCAGTCATCCCTGATCACAGCCTCACAGTTTTTTGAAATCTGGCTTCATTTCGATTCTGACGGTGAGTATCTTCTTTTTAACCCTTTCAAAACCCACTTGCATTTCCTCCCCACTCTGACCTCCTAGGAGCTTCTTCATCCCATCGCCTTCCTTTTCTATTTTTTCCTTCGTCCTCCACCGTGCCTTATCTTGTCTCTCCCTAGCTGCCGACCCAGCAACCTGGAAGTCTGTATTGCTTGTATATAATCCCTACGCCGTAAACTTCCTCTTTCTAGGAACAGTAAAGATAGAACAGAGAGCAAAGATTGGGGAACCGTGTCCCCAAAAGTTTCTAGGACTGTCCCCGGCACTCCAGCTCTCCGCCTTTGCCTTCAGAGCGGTCCAAGTTTGACACGCCGAAAAGGGAGCGCTGCAGCGGCTGCACCCATTGCAGATTAATCAATGCTTAGATTAGAAAGACTCCCAGGTTGCCAGTATAGCTGTCCTGGAAAGAGCCTACAAAATAACTTGGAATGAGAAATCTGACACCGGGTGCCTCTTTGTCTTTGCAGGAAGTGGCTACCTGGAAGGAAAGGAGCTGCAGAACTTGATCCAGGAGCTCCTGCAGGCGCGAAAGAAGGCTGGATTGGTAGGCTCAAGTTTGTGAAGAATTTTCAACGCTAAAACATAATCGTTTGAGGGCTTCATAAAAAAGGCAGGGGCGGTGCTTTGTGGGAGAGAGTAAGACTAAGTTACTAAGGAAAATGAGAAAGAACATCTTTCTAAATTGCACCAGGAGAAAAAGGGTGTGATGGGAGGAAGGAGGGAGGGGGAGATTTCTAAAGGGACAATCCCTATCGTCTTAAATCGGATATATATATATACATTCCATACCTGTCCTTGCCTTGATAGGTCTTAAAAAGAACTGGTATATAAGACCCTTTAGCAGAGCCACACTTCTACCAATGAGTAGGTTGGGTAATTTTTAACTTCTCCTTCCTTGCCTAGAAGTTAGGGAGTAGAAATACATTTCTGCCCCTTGGTGGTCAGGAGAGGATCTGCAGATTGTAGATCTTTTATTTTATTGCCAACTATTGCTGCGCTGTTGGTGTAGTCCGAGAGGGGAGACAAGGAAACAGCCTTGTCTTGACCCTTCTCCCTGAGGAAAGGTGGCCAACTTGTAACATGAGAGAATGAGGACTTAGCAAGAAAAGATTTCCATTTTATTGAGCAAGAGAAACTCAAAAATTAGAACAGTAGGAAACAAAGCATTTTAAGAATTTCATACAGTGTAGGAAGCAGAAAGATATTCTGATGAGAAACAATTGGTGATGTTTTAAAACAAGCTATACTTGTGACTTAAAACATTAGTTAAATAAATGACCATTATTAATTATAAATTAATTCCTTTTAGCATAAATTAATCTGTTAAGAAAAGATAGTGTCAGCATAAAAATAAATTGTACCCAGTCAGCTTTTAAACATGTTGAGATATTTGTATACAGGAAAATAGGTTGAGAATTTTACCAGTCTGCTGGTATTTATGTAAGACTGCCCTTCAGAAAGCAACGTTGGATCTGGACTAGTTACACATTAACAGTTTTTGGCTTTTTGGACTGTGATTAAAAGAAATGTTTACATTAAAGATGACATATACATCATCTCTAGATATTATATAGTATAACACTACTTCTGGTGCTGAGTGATGTATGTATGTATGTATGTGTAATTCACTATCTTTTTGTTCTATTAAGTTGAAATTTGTATGGTATGTATCTCTGCAACATACTCAAAAGAATCCCAGAAGGTTCTAAATGTACTCTAACTTCTTATAAGCAGAATATCAAATTGCTAAAATCATGCCAAATTGACCTTAACTAGACCAAACTCTAGGAATCCTTTTACCCAGATTTACTATAATGTAATCTAAAAGTATAAATGAATGAGACCAAATGAAAATGTCTTCTCTGCACTTTGCCCTCCTTCCAACTTATGCATTGCCACATAAATAAATTCATGTAATACTATCATAGTTCTATGGATCTTTAACTGGTAAGACAAAAGCAATTCTCTTCCTTGCCTAAAATATATTAAATACATATGGAGAGTTATTTTTTATAAAATTTATAATTACAACTTTGGAGGGTGCCTCCAGCAGCTGGGTCAACATATTTTAATTTTTCCACAAATAATTTTAACATTGAGATTTATTTCCATACTATAAATTCAAATATTTAGGAGTTCTATATTTTTCAGACATTTCTTCCTCTTCGCATTTTAATACTTTCACTTTTATGTAAAGAAAAAAAATTGATGTTGGAGTTACAGAGTTTAGAGCTTAATTTTTTTATTCTCTAGAATCTAATTTTGGTCTATATGAATCTCTGATTCGATCATAATTTGATAATAGTAAATACAAGTATGTGGTCACATCAATTTGCTTAACATTTTGATTTTTTCTGGCTTATGTAACTGGTTTTGAATAGTTAAAAATCTAAATCAAGATCTAGATTAAGAATTCATATACTAGACACATTTTATTTATAATTCTAGTCCACTGAAGTATTCCTTCTCTTTTTAAAAACACACACGCTGACCTTGTAAACCAAACTTCTTTATATTTCCAGCCACTATACAACAAAGAAGAACACTGGTTTGTCTCTTCATATTAATAGTGGGAAATTTTAAACTTTTACTAAGTGACTATAACATTAAAGCATATAATAATAGCCAAATATATTTGTGAAATCACTACTCTTTTACACTAAACACAATGCTTAATTGTTACATTTGCACTCATCTTGATAAATCTTTAATTGATAATGACAGTAAGAACAAGTCTCTCACCGTTTAAAACATTGATTTTGACATAATTGTCACCCAGAAAATTTCCAAGCTAAATATCAACTCTATTAATTGAACTAATGGTATTAAATAATTTTAATATTTAATATATAAAAAGGTTTTGCTTTTTCTTCACTTATAGATAGGTGTGGCAAGTATGGGACTGACAGCCCACTGCTGCCACTGTTGGGATGGTCACTTTTGTTTTTTTATCATTGTTCCTGTAACAAAAATTAAGAAATACAAATGGAAAATTACCCATAGTAGAAGGGTTCTTTTCAGACCACATTGTAATTTAATTGCATTGTTACTTTTTGCTATCTTAGTTCCACTAAACATGTTTACATTGATTTCAAAAAGGTTTTGTAAATGCTAACATTAATGCTTTGGGGCTTCAGCACTGCCATCATACTACCTTAATCCAGCCATCTACCCCCAGAGTAAATGTGTGTGGTCAGTTCCATCGTCTTTTTGTTACGATGAAAACTGAGACTTTAATTTGCCTTCCCAAGGATGTAGAATAGGATATTAGTAAGGGCTGACCTATTTTAAATAGACTTCAATTCATGCAATAGAGATATCTTAAGTAAGCTTTGTTTGAAACCCAAGGGTAAAAAAATTGAACTTCCTGAATACTATATGACTAGTTTACAGTTCATAAGATTTACTTTGTCACTCCAGAGCATTGTACAAAATATATGGGAGAAACTATATCATCTTGGGAAAAGTGAAAACAAAGCAAGCTTGGAAAATTGTTCCCTAAGTTCCTGTGGGAGGCAAAGACCATATACATTAAGTCAATGACCTAAAAGAAAAAAATCTTCAATGTTGACAGTTCTTAGTGAGAGTAAAAATTGGTCAAGTCATTTTCTTATTTCACACTTTCCCCTCAATGTTTAGTTTTCTAATTTTACTTAATTACCCCACATCTGTTTCAAACTAGAAAGAGTCCTTGTTTACAAACTGAGACTCTTTAACATACACATAGTTTGGTTGTCCAAGCCAAAAATCTGCTCCTACCTACTATAGGTAAGGCATTATGTTAAAATAAGGAAAATGTTATAAGGCAAGATCGTGCAGAAATATAAAATAAATTTCAACAAAGCAAACAATTATTAAGATGTACTAATAGCTATTATATTTAAATTCAGTAAAGATTATGAATTGAATAATTCTGGCTTCATTTTAAAATGATAGCATATTCTCAAAACTAATAATAGAAAATAAATTATAGTGATTGATTCTAAAATTATCCATAATTCAAATATTTCATTTGAAACTAATAAATACTATCTATCCCTAAACCTGTGTAGTCAGAACCATCTTTTTGCTCTCTAATTTTCATGACAATAGTCCATCACATTACATAATTCTAAATGGTTCCCATTTTCATTTTTCTTTGCAGCAATTTATCAACATTACAAGCATAAATGGATTTTTTTTTTTTACAAATGTCTTACCTGCTTTTTCATAATTTTAGGAGTTATCGCCTGAGATGAAAACCTTTGTGGATCAGTATGGGCAGAGAGATGATGGAAAAATAGGAATTGTAGAGGTAAGGAACCCATGCATTTATCTAATATAATAGAGTAACTTCAAGTTTGAAATTTACCAAGTCATCCTAGGTTAAACATAATATGGAAAGACTCATTCATAGAGGGCTATTCAACTCAATAATATGCAAACTTCTACTTAGGTGCATAGAATTTAAATGTTAGAAATGAAAAAGGAACTTGAGAGTTTATGTAATCCAGAGACTAAATTATATTATAAAACAGAATGAGAAGTGAAAAGCTAGATCTCTGTCACCTAACTGTTCACTGGCACTGATGGTATTAGAGGAACAAATACCTAACCTCTGAGTGAGCATCGATCACAGTGCCCTATCCACACCCTTTGAGTCCAGTATCCAAGTATCTGATTCATTTGCTAGTGTTTAACACTGTCAAATTTTAAAATTAAATATTCAAAGCCCTATGAAGATGTCATGGCAAAAGCTGCATCCTAGTTTCTGAAACTATTTCAGCCTGACAGATGGCCCTAGCAAAAGGACACGAACTTCCCTACAGTGAGTGAATACTTTATGATCTGGTACAGGTTGAGTCTCTAAAAGTTAAAACTGCAAGTATCAAATCTTGTCTTTTGACAATGAACTTTCATTTTAAATACATCCTATTTTGTCTATGAATCAAGGAAACAAAATCAACTGCGTATCTATCTATATTCTCAATTTGCAAAAGAGTTGCTGCTTCCCTTATTTCTACTGGGGTGAGCTCAGCTGTCTTATTTTGGAAATCTGTCAGAGAAACTGAGTAGTCTTATCCCAATTTAATAAGGTCTTGTTTTAAAATATACCAAATCACAAGCATAATTATGTTCTTTGTAAAATGTTCTCAGTGTATTCAGTTGTAAAGCATTGAGGGTCTCAAAAATTTTAGTTGTAGTTTACTTATGATTCTGAGAACTAACCTGGTTTTCAAATAATTGATCTTATTAGGACACTTATGATGCCAGAGTAAAATACACTTATTTTTAAACACCAACCATGAATAGAGTGAACGGAGGGCATACTATTATTATCTTTGTAATTAAAATTTCTCCCTGGAGTATACACTTCCCCCTTTTGCCTATGTGTAACTCATTATTGTATAAATAGATAATAGTCATGAAACTGACAAATTGATATAGAGGCCAACTAATCAAGAGATGAAATCAAGAATAATAAAATTACTTTTAAATGAACATAAATGAAATGAGAATAATAATGATCAGAACTACTTTGAAAATCAGATATCATTCCATGTTGACTATTTCAGAGTTTGAAATATTTTATAATTCTTGTTAAAGAAAGACTATCATCTTATATTTAACCATTTCATGGTGAAGGACTCCAGTGGGCTCAGCTATTTATTATATTTTATTTCTTCAGTGACTATAAAGCTTTAATTTTAAATTTTTAAATGGAGAATATGGGTACCCAGGTTTTACTCTATGTAATATAGTCCAATCATTTGAGCTTTAATGCAAATGAGAAGCTAAGGGTCACTTAACAGATGTATTGTCTTAGAGAGCCAACAAAACATGTTCCCCACACATTTGAGATAAGAACTGTTACATGGAAGGGAAGGTTTTCTGTGTGAGGAAAAAGAGAAATAGAAGAGAAGAGCATGAAGAAAGAAAGGTAGAAGAGGAAATACTAAGAAACTTTTATAATAATAAAATAGGAAGAGGATTTTACATCTGTGGCATATAACTTACAATCTGTTTTCAAGATCCTCATAACAAAATAAAGTCTAACTATAAAATGAAGATCTGTTTATAATTGAGGAACCTGAAGCATCAGTATGTTTGCCTAAAGTCAAAGAGAAAACTCAGAACTAAATATGGAATAGTCACAAGCTGGTCCTAGTCCCCTAAATCACTCTGCCTACCTTTTTAAAATAGTATAATCAACACATTTTCTACATTAAAATGAAAGATGTTTAGTTGGTCTCGGTGGTATACACCTTTAATCCCAGCACCAGGGAGACAGAGGTAGGTGGATTTCTGTGAGTTTTAAGGCCAGCCTAGTCTACAAAGTGAGTTCCAGGCTAGCCAGGGCTATATAGCAAGACCCTGTCTGGAAAAAAAAAAAGGAAAGATTTTTTAAAACTTCATATGGTTATTTATGGCAAGACTCTAGGTTTCGCTGATCTAATTAGAGATGCACAAAATCAAGACGTCACTCAACTCAAAATGGGGTCACATCTTGATAAACCCTTAGTAAACTGGAAACATTATAAGTATTAGATGCATGAATATACCTAACCACCAGGCTGCTAGTACAAGCCTGTAATCCCTGCTACCACGGAGGGTGACACAAGATGATCACAAGATCAAGGCCTGCCTAGGCAAGTTAGTGAGACTTATCTCAAAATGTAAAGAGGTTTGGAGATATAGTTCAATAACAGAGTACTTGTCTAGTGAGAGATAAAAAGAGGGAGGGAGAGAGGGAAGAAGAGTAGGAGAGAGGGAGAGAGGGAGGGAGGGAGGGAAGGAGGGAGGGAGACCAAACCTACCAAATATCATATCGGAGTGATGCTGTATGCTATATTTGTAGGCCCTCATGATTGAATTACTAGCCAAGATATTGGAGAAGGGTAGGTGGAACGGATTCTCTGAGAAAAAGAGAACTCGATTATGAAAGAGCAGGAAGGAGACTGCTAGAGGGTTCACAGCATGGGTTCAGGATGGCTAAGCAGGAGCAGAAAAAGGAAAGGTTCTGAAGCAGCACCAGAGAAAAACAAAAAGTTACACAGAAAAGCAGGAAAAGAGACAGAGGAGAATGTTTGAATTTACAGTATGCCATCCGATGACACCAGAATGTTGTATTAAATACAGTTCATCCTTTTTCCAATTCTATGTAAGATATTACTTGCTTAGAAGTCCTACATATAAAATGGGATTCCAATAAAAAATTCTATCTAGCTATAAAGGACTACAAAACCCCATGTTTTCCAGTGTATTATAATCTCCTAGCTCTTACCAAACACACAATAACTTTGGTGTTAAAGGAGAAAGGTTGAATGTACTTGAATGTTTTGCTTACGTTATACCTACTTCGTAATTATACTTCAGTATTCATCAAAGTCTAATCAAAGTAAATAAATATCTACATAGTAATCTTCTTCCCTAATGGAGCCACCTAACTGAACTAAAGACAGAAAAATACAACAGATAATTTTTAAAAGTTCTGACCTGATAAAGTTGCCTGACACTATCATGCAACATGCATTTTTTTACCTAAGCACATGGAAAGGAAAGTTATGTGTTGATATGCTTACTTCTGAATTTGGTAACTTAACATCCTTCAAAAGATTTTTAAAATCATATGAATGTGTTTCAGTAATAACAAGATTATTAATAGATGTTCAAAACAACAGTACTTAAATTCTTAGATAATTTAACAAATACCATGGCAGTCAGAGGTGTTCTAAATTTATTCAGACTAACATAGTTCTGTTGTAAAGAAGGCCCATTAAAATAATTAAATGGGAAGACTGATTTAGCAGGTCATATTTTTCTCTGGGTCTCACAGTACATGCCTACAGATATTTCCCTTTGCTGAATGTCAAATCTTTACACTGTCCCTCTGCTCCCTTGGGCTATGTGTGGGAGCCTACCAACCTCTCTAGTCTCAATTTTTCCATCTGTCCAGGTCAGTAAATACACTGAAAAAATAGATCTAAAAGCTACTTTAATCTGAAGCTGTAACAACCACGGCAGGAAAGCAGACACTTTTCTAGCCATTTCCTCTTGTCTTTCAAAATGGGATTTAAGTATGTAAATTTAGCCAGGGCAAAGGAAGGTAATTTTTCTTGGCAGACTACTTGCCTACCTTAGAATTTGGGAAAATGATTGATGGTGAAATCTGATTTTAAAACTTGCTATGGGTAGATATTTTTTTAATTATTTACTAGAATAACTTTTTGATTATAGAGTGCTGACAATAAGGAATAAATGTCTCAAAATCAAAAAAGTTAAACAATTTTACTTCAAAACTGGCTCAAACTACAGAATATATGAAAAGCATCATGGGGACATCTTTATTTCCCAGGCTGTAAGCAGACATGACTATATACTAACTTCCTACATCTGTTATAAATGTTAGCATCGAAGGAGATAATACATGTCAAATAAACAGACCACTGCAAAAACGTAGTGAGCATACTTGGCATTATTTTTAAAGACAGAAATAACTGGGACTGGGGCTGGAGAGATGGCTCAGTGGTTAAGAACAGGCACTAGCTGCTCCTGCAGAAGACCTGAGTTTGATTCCCAGCATACACATGGTGGCTAAAAACCATTTGTAACTCCAGTTCCAGGGAACCTGCCACCCTCTTCTGACTTCCACAAGCATTGCATGACATGGGTACACTTATATACATGCAGGCAATACATTCATACACATAAGATAAAAATAATAAAGTATTTTCTCAAAAAAGATAGAAAAAACTTACTGAAAAACCTATCCTACTGTTCTGAATGCCAACACTTCTTTCTCCTTATGTAATTTATTAAGCTCAAAATTATTTTAAACCTATGAGATGATTGTTTACCTTCCAAGTTTCCTAGATTCACTTCTCATGATGAGGAAAAATGTTTCTCGGTTCTTCAAATGAAATGGTGAATACTTGTCTACTACGTGCTCAAGAAAGCTAACATGTTCCATAATTGTCCTTAAAAGTTAAGAATTACAACTGTTGTACATGTTGAAATATCTATCTTTATGCTGTGGAAGGAAACTAAAGACAAAAGGACTGGGCCACGAGGGATATTGGGCTGTGACAGAGCCTTAATGGAGACTTTATCTGATTCTTCAATGAGCTCTGAAGTTGAGGTGCCTCTTTGGAGTTTTCCCAAGCTTTGAGTGAGAGGGTTGAGCTTCCATGTGGACTAATCGTGGGATGCAGTCTCCTTGAGGATGCAGCTGTCTTCAGCCCAGACATTCCCTCAAAGGAACCTGACATCTACATGAACAACAATACTCCCAGGACTAGAAGACAGGTCTGGGAAGTATCTCACAATAACCACCCTAGCCCATAGCCACAGTCCAGTAATAAGTTATTTGAAATATGTCTAAGGGAACTTTACTTCTACAAATTTACAACTGACTATTGACAAATAGTTACTTACATTCATTATATCAGTAAAATATTTATTGATGCAGTTGCTGGGCAAACAGTTTGGTCTATTTCAGTGTCAAGCCACCAATTCTCATAAGTAAAGACCTAAGGGATTCTCGTTATAGCCACAGCTATCTGCCTTCCATTCATCCTCTTAATACACTCCGCTTTCTTCTGCAACTCATATAAAAGAACTGGAATGTTCATAAAAGGACAAGTAGGTAGCCCAGTAACTGAAAACTCACCAACAATCTTGAAATTAGCAGCACTGTGAACTTCTATGGACAAATCAGAAAATAAAATAGCCCTACCTAAAACCTTTTAGGAAAGACCTTTGGCACATTCTAGACATTGCCTTAGATGCTGCCACTGGAGAAATACTCACATTAGAAATTGCAATATTGATACAGAAGCATCGACAGAAGGACCAACAGGCAACACAGGACCACCACACTGTGGACCACACCTTGAAAAGAATTTCTTTATGTTCATTCTAGTGACGTACTATCCACACATATGATTTTTTTTTCTGTCTTTTTGAGACGGGGTCTCCCTGTAGCCCCAGCTGGTCTGAAACTTGCTTTGTAGACCAGGTTGGCTTTAAACTCATAGAGATCTGCCTGCCTCTGCTGCCTAAGTGCTGGGACTAAAGGCATACACCACCATACCCAGCTACAATCAACATTTTTTTTTATCTTTTTTGAGACAGTGTCATTCTGTAACCCTAGCTGAACTAGAACTCACTATATAGAACAGCCTGGCCTTGAACTAACAACAATCTACCTGTCTCTGCCTCCCAAGTGCCAGGATTAAAGGCATGTGCCACCATGCCCAGCCTTGCAATCAGTATTTTGAACAATTAAGATCAAAACAAAATGCACAAAGAAATATGCATCTATATTAGCCATAAAGAGGAATATCATTCTCTTTATAGTTGCTATTCTAGAAACCTCTGAACTTTTTGTGAGTTACATGAACTTTATGAAACAAAGATGGTTAAATTTCCCTTATCTTAAATTATGCCATTACTGACTAGTGTATTTTATTTTTTCTATTTTTATATATTTGAGGATTTTTCAGAAGAAAAGTTCTTTTTTACTTTAAGGTAACATATATTAATTATAAAATTCAAGAAATATAGAAAACGGTAACAGTAAAAGTTGTTCGCTATACACCATGACAATGAAGTGTTCCTAATTAAACAAAATTATCAAGAAAGTCACAAGCATGTATTTCAATTTCAAGCACCTAACATGCTGGGCTCCGTCAATTCCAGATGGTCATGGGATGCAGACAACAAGCATTCTCTGAGCTCTTGAAAGAGATGGCCTGGGAGAGGGCCACCAAAATTTTGAAAGTTACATACCAGTATTCAAAGAAAGAATTGAGGTTGGCAATTTCCAGTTTCCTGAATGGATGCTTGTATTAATCACAACTATAATAGAATACAACTTCCAGCATCACATAAACCCTTCCAAAATGTACACTTACCACTGGGTTCCATTAGTCAATTTGTTCCTCTATATGTCTGCCCCTGATGTATTTCCTCCCTCTTTGAGACCTGAGATTTCTATTCTCTTATCTTTTGTCCTCACCCCTTGCTGGATCAATACTCTCTCCTCCTTTGAAGTCCTAAAAGAAATCTTCTCCAGAATGCCTTCAGCATTATAATAGCCAGCATTTTACATGAGGCTTCAGGAGCCTGGCTGCTCCTCTCTGTGAAGACCTTCCCCTGTCCAGCCTGCAGTTCTCCCTCCCTCTTCTCTTCCATTTAGCTTCACTGGAGACCTACTTTCTGGCCTAACTTATGCTTCTTTAGTAATGAAAATCATTTATAGCAACTGTCCACTAGCAGCTTGCATACAGATGCAGAGGAAAGGACAATTCATGAGGAAGTTCTAGATTTCAATGAGTAGAAACAAACACAGCCTAACAGAGCCACAAATAGCAATCGTTAAATGCTTCATTTGTGTCCAAGAGAGAAGAAGCCACCAAGCTATCTTATTACTATCTTCAAAGAGCATGTTGCTGACTTAAATTACTAATGATCATCAAATTAAAGTAACTTTCAGAGATCAGATCATACAATCTCTTTTCATCTTACAATCTTTGACTCAAAAATTCAACGCTTTTAAGCCTTGAATTAAATTGAATGGCGTTGTTTCTGAGGTGTAGAATTTTATGACTGAAGAATTCAAAGAAGTCAAAGTACACAGACAAGGCTTAAGCTTATTAAATTACATGACCTCTCTCTCTCCCTCTCTCTCTCTCTCTCTCTCTCTCTCTCTCTCTCTCTCTCTCTCACACTGTTTATGGACCAAAAGTTGATTTCATTTTTTAAATTAATAATTTAAAGGACAGATGCCATATAAGGAATAATTATGTGATTGTTCACATGGAAAGCAAAATGGAGTTTTGTGTTAAACTTCAAATTTTACTGAACCTAAACAGATGACAAAAAATTTTAATAGGTTTGATAGTCTCTTCTATCATTCAGTAGAAATTTTAGGGCTGGTTATGATCTTAAAGTTAATCTAGATTACAAGTTCTTGAACTGGGGGTAGCGACCTTATATGAAGGTGGCAAAAATTGGGTAAAATGTAAAAGGTTCTGAATATAAAACTATCAAAAATTAATTCAAAATCAAAAGAGCAATGAAGTGAAGGTGTTTGCGGCAGCACTCAGTCCCCTGAGTTGCCTTGTACAACAACTTCATGGCAGCCTCAGTGCTGAACACACCACATGTACCCTTGACCCTGCACATGCTGTCATACTACATAACTGAAACAAAGGCTTCCTGAAACAGCTGACTTGACAGGAATGCATATTATGAACTGCAGTGTTTTTATTGCATATAAAAAGTTTTCTGATCTTACAAAAAATAGCAGCTTAGTTAGAGAAAACAAAGGCTTTTAATATTTTCCTACCTTCATTCTTCAGTACAGATCACATTAGTCTCTGGACTGTGTTGTGTTAGAATGCTTGATCTCAAAATGTTGCTGATGGGTTTCACAAAAAATGATTCAATGAATTTTGACAGGATTAGGACAGAATTTTCAACAAATTTCTGTAATCATTTAAAACATACTTCTGCCCTATTATACTGTATATTTATGTGAAACACTGTTCACAGCACTGGTTACTATAAAATCATAATTAGGTCAATTTTGAAAAATACTGAAGGTGCTCTACATCCAGCAGTATCAAATATTTATTTTATATTTTACAATAGTTTTCTTTAAGATTTGTTACCAGTAAATTTTTTATTTCTATATTTATATTATAGACCTGTGTGCCTGAGGTCGTGTAAAACTTTCTCAGGAGAAAAAGGTCATGAGTTAAGTATCTCTGACCTAGACAGATTTGTGGTATAAGCACCAAAGGTGAGGGCCATGTCTGAACTTCAGGGAATTCAAAAATATTTTACAATAGTTTTCTTTAAGATTTGTTACCAGTAAATTTTTTATTTCTATATTTATATTATAGACCTGTGTGCCTGAGGTCGTGTAAAACTTTCTCAGGAGAAAAAGGTCATGAGTTAAGTATCTCTGACCTAGACAGATTTGTGGTATAAGCACCAAAGGTGAGGGCCATGTCTGAACTTCAGGGAATTCAAAAAGTGGTATGTGTGGATTTGTTCTTTAATGATGAAGCAAATTTAGGAATTGCAACAGCATACACTCTGAGCCTAAGACATTGGTTTCTCCTTCACCTCCTTTTTCTAATGATGAGGATGCTGAGGTCCAGAAATGGCTGATGAAGTTGCTGGGGACCACAGCTCATTAGCAGCTGAACCAGAAATAGAACTCATGTCGGCAGTGGAGCCATCAATCCAGCTCCCTCCTTCTCTGCATGCAATAGATTATATTAGTCTTAAAATGGGATCTGTAGTCCTCTAATCCTTCAAAAAAGAGAGAAGTACTGAAGTTATAAAATGAGATCTAAGGGAAAATGTCATAGAGTCACACAGTGAAGATCAAAATTAACCCAAGCCCCAGCATCAAGCAGCAGACATCGTTTCCACAGAGAAGAGCGATTTAAGCATCCACTTTCCCTAACACTGTTCAGTCCCCCTGTTTATTGTGACCTGTTTTTCCTCCCCTTTCTACTGCTTTGCACTTGTCTTTGGCTCAGCTCCTCTTGCGTTTCTCTCCAGACTTACACATGTATTTTTTTCTTCCTTCCTTTTTCCTATATTCATGTTTCTTAGTTTCTGTCATTTCATATAAAATTTATTTGTAACCACCACGTGTGCCACTCTACACACCCCGAGAAGCCTGAGACCTGATGGGTGGCACAGCAGTCAAGCAGCATGCACCTGCCTGCTCTGCAGTGGACCACCACAGCCATCTCCTGGACTGAGGAGCCAGGTGCTTAAGCACAGGCATTGCAACACACCTCAGCACTTTACAGAAGCACAGAACCGGAAAGGGAAAGTCAACTGATGTTTTTCTCACCTACTTTCCTAGTCAATGCAGTTGTCTCTTAGGAACATTTTGAGGCAAAGCTAAAGCAGCAGGTGATGCCAGAGGCTTGTTTTCGAACACTCACCACAGTGTTTCTCTGTTTTTGCCTTTTCCAGTTGGCTCACGTCTTACCCACAGAAGAGAATTTCCTTCTGCTCTTCCGATGCCAGCAACTGAAATCCTGTGAAGAATTCATGAAGGTAAAAAAGTTCTCACTTTAAGAAAGCTGCTGAAAGTAGGAAAATTTGGGGGGCTTGGGGGGGGTAGTGTTTTGTTATGTTTTGGTTGTTTTCTATTAAAATATGGTTTTCCTTCTCTAAATTCCTCACAGACTTGGCGAAAGTATGATACTGATCACAGTGGCTTCATAGAAACTGAGGAACTTAAGGTAAGCCAATAGAAGCTTAGGTTAACTTCTTCCGAATGCAACCATGAACTGCTAAGGGATTCATAGCTTTTTAAAAAACCTCCCACAAAAGAAACTCATGTTGAGCAATGGCACATTTTCACCCACTCTGCACATCATTAATGAAACACCAGATCGAAAAAGAGACTTCAAGCGCTTCTTGAAATTCTGTTCGTCAGTGCAAGAAATTAGCATTTTTCTGTGGTGTACATAAAGTGTTATGTAAGACCGACAGATAGATGATAAACAGACAGACACACATAGATAGATATAACTAACAACACAAGCCAAATAACTTACTATGCACCATTGAAATTTGAAATTTAATTTTAACAACTGAACACCTATATGGATTTCTCTTTTGAAAGAAGAAATAGTACAAAGACACTTGTACCATATACATACTTATTTCATCTTTACATGAAATCTGTGAGTTTAGCATTACCCCAGTGACAAAAGGTCTATAAAAGTTAAAAGATCCACTGACCACTCAGAAATAAGACACAGGGTTGCAATTTTAATCCCAGACTCATTCATATACAAGGTCCTAGACACATCACAAGTCCTCCTGCTTCTCAACAATATCAATTATGTAATTAAATTTTGGAAAACTGAAATTTTTAAAATGATTCTATCAATTCATAGCTCAAGGAGAAAATGAAGTGATCCCAGAGAGAAGGATATAAGGAAAAGAAATCTCAAATAAAGATGTACTTTGGGAAAATCTCTACATCAGTTCTCTAACTTTTCATCTTTAAAAACAGAGGTAATAAGCCAGGCATGGTGGTGCATGCCTTTAAACGTAGCACTCAGGAGGCAGAAACAGGCAGATCTCTGTAGAAGAGTCCAACTTGGTCTACATAGCAAGTGCCAGGCCAGCTGGGGCTGCAGCGAGATCCTGTCTAAATAAATAAATGCAGAGATAATGATACCAGGGATAATAAAGTTCTCAGGTGTATTGCAAGGCTCAAGTAAAATGCCACACAGGATTCTGTGAAATACGAAGCATACTAAATTATACTATACTGGAACTCAATCACTGACCTTTCAGAAACGGAGGTACATCTTTCACCTCTAAAGTCAACTATAAGATGTCTTAGTGCAAAAGGCCATATTTCCTCTAATTTTTGAATACAGAATGATAAAAAGGGAAGCCATGGCTGGTGAGTTGGCCATTGGCTGAAGGTACCCACCACCGAGCCTGACAACTTGAGTTCAGTCCCGTGGGACCTATGTGATAGAAGGACAGTTTTCTGACCTCGACATGTGTTCCATGGCATGCACATACCTGCACACACAGAGACACACACACACAAAATAAATAAATAAATAAATAAATAAATAAATAATTTTTAGTCTTTTTAAGACAGGGTCTCTCTACAGCCCCAGCTGGCCTGAAACTCACTACGTAGACCAAGATGGCCTCAAACTCACAGAGATCCACCTGCCTCTGCCTCCTGAGTGCTGGGATTAAAGGCATGTGCCACCTCACCCGGCGTCAAAATAATTTTTTTAATTTAAAGGAAACAAGTTAATATTTATTGAGCACTGAATGTGTACCTCCTATGAAGCAGACAGATTACTGTGTGCTTGAAATGTATCTTAGCATTTAATCTTCAAAAACTTACAAGGCAGTTATTACTACCCCCAATGTACAGGGAGACAGAAGTTCAGTGACTGAGGAATTTTTCAAAATTACATGCCTGCCTAGGAAGACAACCTAGGCTCTATGTAGCAAGGCTTTTTCTCTACAGCACTACACACCCTCAAGCTTCACCTACTGAGGGTATGTCCATGCTGCTATGTGGGGAAAGAGGAGTATTGTTTTCCTAGCCATAGTTCAGTATAATTTAAGAAGCATACAGTTTTAAAGATTGAACTGGCACATTTGTGCCACTATGAAATTGCTATAACATATTCAACTCAGCCTCACTAAAGTGTGAACATTTTTAATATGAAATTCCTAAAAGCAATGTCTTTTAAACACTTGTAGTTCTGCAACTAGAACCCACGAGGTGACAGGGAAGTTATTGTGTTTTTATTCTATTAGACCAAAAGAATTATTTTTAAAAAATCATCTCAGTACACAATGAAAACGTTAGCTCATTTCAATACTGACCTCAAAATATTCTAAAAGTCTCTTTCTTTGTTCTAAATTTTATTCTCAGAAAGGAAATTCTAAATAGAAGTCCTCCTCCCTGGGGAATTTTGAAGATAAGTTGGCACTCTTTTTTAATGGATCTTTCAAGAAAGCTCATTTTAAGGAAAGAAAGCTAATTTTAAGATCTGTAATAGAGTAAAACACTGGTTGCTCCCAGACATGACTTTGAATCTTTGTGTCCCAAGGTCTCTTCCAGGCTATTTTTGTGACCGCCATTTCAGTCTCTGATGAGGCTTTTTAACCCAATTAATCTCTGACAAAAGTCTTAGAAGGCTCAAAAATAAAATTCGCCCCCACCAGATAACTTTGAATTTTCCATGCTCACTTTGGATCTGAAACAGAATGCTTGACGTGAAAAATTTATCAGACCTAGAAAAGGATTTCCATCCTTGAAGAGTGAAGTCAAATCCACCCAGGAAAGCTGGTACTCTTTAGGAGATGACAAACCTCTGCTGCAACAAAGAAACCCAGTCCTTCAGACTGACTGGGCACAGCATCTGCTCAACTTCCATAGTTACATTAATTCATTTCCTGATAAAATTAAAGAGTTTCAAGTGAACATCAGAACTTGCACTGACATTTATATGGCGAGCTTTTGCAAAGCTTTTTAAACCATTTTTATCTCTTTAAAAAATTAAACTTGCTCCTAAGTTCCAACTGTCAAGTTAATAATCATCTTTTTTCTGTCCTTCCCACATTAATCTCTAATATGATTCATATGTCCTTCAAGGATTCTATGTTATCATCTGAGATCAACTGTTTTAGTTTGTACAGTCAGCAGAAGCATTTTAACAGATTCTTTGGATTCTGTGAAGCCTAAAAATTAATCACCTGGCCATTTGGAAAACAGGCTTTACACTAGCTACAATCTGGTAAGAAAACAGTGCCCAGGAGACACAAAATGCATTTGAATTGGAGGTAGAGTCCATCTAGTTTGCTGATAATTTTTCACACATGTTACAGAGGTACAGAAAGAGGACCTTCTACTTCTTATGGAAGATCACATTAGAACCTGTGAAAAGAAGCATCCATTGGACTGGTTTAAAATTTTTTTAAGCCAAGGGCTGGAGAGACGGCTCAGTGGTTAAGAGCACTGACTGCTCTTACAAAGGACCCAGGCTCAATTCCCAGCACCCACATGGCAGCTATGAACTGTCCTTAACTCCAGTTCCAGGGAATCCGAAGCCCTCTTCTGACCTCTGTGGCATTGCACAAAATGGGTGCACTCACATACATGCAGGCAATACACTCATACACATAAAATAAAAATAATAAATAATTTTTAAAATTTTTAATCCAGATCCTTATGCAGTGAACAACCCACACCATCCTTTAATTGCAATTAATCACAAAAGCACGATACAGCTCAGACTAAGACAAATTGGGTCTCTGTGAGAAGCAGTTATTGTGCCTGTCAAAGGCAATTTCATTATTGGAATGTCACAATAACCACATGACTTCCAAGGTCTTCGCCTCACCTGGCTCCACTCTCATAAAGAGGTTTCCTGTGTGTTCATCCAGATATTTTCTGTTGCAAACTATACACTAACGATGACATGAAATTTTTCTAAGTGTTCTTTCTTTTCACAGAACTTTCTAAAGGACCTACTAGAAAAAGCAAACAAGACTGTGGATGACACAAAACTTGCTGAGTATACAGACCTGATGGTAAGACTGAACTGGAAAAGATTTAGGCAAGAGCTCATGAAATGCAACGTCTGTGTTTTTGCTAATTGTCAAGGCCACCCAGGATGGAATAAATAAACCATGGTTTGGATATCAAATATCCACAGAAGTCATTTCATGGGAAAACTAAAATACCTTAAGGACATTTACATCTGGTCAGTGCTGCAGGTACTGATTTCACAGCTCAACACCTGGGTTGCCACATCATCATTATCTCTCAAAAGATGACTTTGCTTTAAAAGCCAGTATAATTATATCACTAAATTATGTATATTTTACATATTATATTTATATACAAAGTATAGTTACATCATCCCTAACTCATAGACATTCTGAAGCTATTTTATCACAGTTTAGGAAATCAAATACTTTTCTATAGTTTAAAGAAAACTGATAGCTAGTCTATAAGTACTTAAAATAAGTTTGATTATTTTTATTTTTGTTAGTATAAAGTATTGTACTGATGCTATGAATGTATAAATTCAAATATACCTTAGTCCTGATGCTTTGATAGATAGCATAAACAACATTTGTTGTGAAATGTGAATAACAGAGTAACAAAAAAACCTTTACACAAAGTTGCCTAATGTTTTAGGGACAGACAAGCAAATAAATTAATGGAGTTCTAGACAAAATAAGCGAGTGTCCATGAAGTTACATTGTCTTAAGTAGGTGGTTTGCTCATTTTAATTTATTACATGATTAACATTTCCAGACAGTATGCATGTTTACATTTGCTCTACATGCTGTGAAGTTACTATGAATTCCAACCCCAAAGTAAAACATAAAATATTACTGAATCAGAACTTCTGCACTACATGGATTGACAAAGAACTTGGGCTTTAAGTTACCCCAAAGAACAATCTTATAAAGGGTTTTGTTCTATTCAGTGTAGCTAAGATTAACTTGTAGGCTCTTGGCTCACTATATTTTGGAAAACAGAAACAAAACTGTTGTCTTATTGACTGAACAGTTACATTTATTATAAATAGGGACTGGTCTTTGATTAATTAAATTAAAAGTCTTTATTTAAAAAAGATTTTCCATGGTCTTCTTTAATTCCCCAGTACACTTTTGCTTCCAGTAGTGTTAGCAAACAGGTGGTAGACTTTCTTGCTTTGTCATGAAGGGTAGATCTATGCTCTGAATCTTTCTTCGGGAAATGGACAATAACCTACATTTGCCAATTTTCTATTTCGTCTCAATCTTAAGGGATGACTATTTAAAGTCAGGTCTCCTTTCCAGGTAGACATTTGAAGCAGTCTTTCAAAAAACCACTCAGATGGGATCTTCCCCTGTTGGACTGACCCAGTAGATCTGATTAAATGTCACAAACCAGTTCCAATCCAGGAAGCAAATTAATCAAGAACTAATTAAAATTTAAATATATAGATGAGGAAACATTTCCCTATGGGCACTAAACTCTATGATCTAGTTGTCTAGTATCTTGGTAGAGAATGTGACAATATTAGAATGTATGGTCAATGAATTATAAAATGTTGTCTCAGTATAGGACCCTGAAAAAAACCTGCTTCCAACAAAGAATTCTTTGAGCATCTCAAATCACAAAAACTCTAAGCATTATGTCATTATCACAGCTCACTTCTCAAAAATAATACTTCTTTTTATATATTTAGTGTATGTATATCATATGTATTTCATATATGATAATTACAGGATTTGTTTACTTATGGTAATCATTGCTGCTTTCTAGAAATGTGAATGCTTCCCAAATATTGCTATATGTACTTATGGTGTCTCAGTATGTCATATGTGTGTGAGTACAAGAGAGAGTTAGGGAATGTTAAGTTTCTAGTATCCAATGGAAAATTTGACAATTTGAAATTACTCAAAATGTCTACTCTATAAAGATTTATTTGTTTGTTTATTTACTTATACTAATTGTCTTGTTTGCAGTGTATGCTTTAAAAGGACAGCCAGGGGCTGGGGAGGTAGCTCAGCAGTAGCATGCTTGCCTAGCAGACACTCAGATTGTTTGATGCTTGTCTCCTTCATTTAATAATTCATGGCTAAGTGGTTCAAATAATGACACTGTCTTTCAGCTGAAATTATTTGATTCAAATAATGATGGGAAGCTGGAATTGACTGAGATGGCCAGGTGAGTTTTGGAATTGTGCGAATAACGTTAGAATAAGCTGGTCCTCATCTAAAGCTCCACTCTATTAACATAATGTTTTTCTCTCAACAGGTTACTACCAGTGCAGGAGAATTTTCTTCTTAAATTTCAGGTATTTACTTTTTTCTCTATAGTAAATAAAAATTTTCCTTGAAAAGTCAGAATGTGGGAGATTTGTCAAGAGAAACACATTGAAATACAGTGCAGTGGTTTGACCTCTTCTTTCTTCTCTGTCTCTTAGGGAATCAAAATGTGTGGGAAAGAGTTCAATAAGGCTTTTGAGTTATATGATCAGGTAAAAGTGTTTTCTTTACTTTTTTCACTTAAAAAAATCTTACAATAAATAATTTAGTATGAAATCTCGGCTCTGAAACTTTTAAGTGGAAAATACAGTATTTGTGAATTGCAGACAGTGTTGTGCAGCACCTCTTTAGAACTGATTTATCTTGCATAGTTGAGACTTTATGCCCATTAGTGACTTCCCATTCCACTTTCCCCATCCTGACAGAAAGTACTCTACACTGATTCCATGAGTTTCACTATTGTGGAAACATTGTGTAAGTGGAATCATCCAATACCTATCATTTATCATATATATTGCAGAATTTCCTTCTTTCTAAATTCTGAATAATATTACATTTTATATTTACATGTATATATAATTTCTTTTTATATAATCTTCACCTATTCAACTATTTTCATATCTTAGCTATTGTGAATGCTACTATCTCTTTGGGATCCTGGTCCTTTTAAAGAACCAGAATTGGGATTTGCTAGATCATATGGTAGTTATATTTTTAATTTTTGGTGTCTCTTCATACTATTTTGCACAGTGGTTGCATCATTTCAAATTTCTATCAACAGCATACAGGAACTCAGTCTCTTTCTATCCTCTGCAACACCTGTTTCCTTTGCCTGTTTGATAACAGCCATTCTAGCAGATATGAAGTGAGATCTCATATAAGTTTTAATCTGCATTTCTGTGACCATCAAAGACATAGACCATCTTTTCATGAACTCATTAGTCGTTTATGTCTTCTTTGGAAAAGTGTCTATTCACATTTTGTAGCCTATTTTTTAAATTTTTTATTGAGATTTTGTACATTTCATACAACAGTTCTTAAATCAAATTTAGACCTCCCTCCCCATCCATGACCCCCCACTCGTCATGTACTCTGCTATACATGTTAAGCCCTATCCAGTCAAGCAATTGTACCCATATGTCTTTTGGTGTAAATTCATCCACTGGAATCTAGTCAGCCTATCTAGAGAATATTGGAAAGGTCTACTCTCCCTTAACTAGTAGTGCCGACCCACCACCCATTTCCCTAGCTCCACTCTGGGCTCTTGTCTGATTGAGTTGGCATGGGTCTTGTGCTCAATGCCATCATTGCCATAAGTTCATATGTATAAGCCTCCAGTGGCCTGTAAGCCTCTGCTTCCCCGTGTCCATGGACCAACCCTGGCTCTTACAATCTTTCCAGAAGCTCCCTCTTCCACAGTGGTCCCTGAGCTGTGGGTGAGAGAGTTTTAACTTAGGAATCCTATCCAGGGACACACACTCTGCACTCTCTTATTCTTTAGCCTATTTTTTTAAAGCAAATTATTCTTATGCTGGCAAATTGTAAGTGTCCCTTACATGTTTGATTACTATATTCCTTTTAGGTAAGGAATGAACACTGCATTTATAAATAGCTTACAAATATCTTCTCCCATTCCATGCCCATTTTTCACTGTTGATGACTCCTTTTTTCAGATTGATGGAGTTCCACTGTACAGTTTTGCTTATGAGATCACATCCATGAACTCAATGCTAAGACCAGTGTCTTAAACTTTTTTACCTGTTTTCTTTTGGGAATTTTGTATCTTTACTATTTAAATCTTTATATTAAGTTGATTTTTGTTCATAGTAAAAACAAGGATCTAATTTTTTCCCTTCTGCATGTGGCCATACAATTTTACCCATAATATCTGTTGAATTTGTTGAAAGGAATATCCTTATCTCTACACTCCGTCTCCTAGTGAAAGATCAATTGATTTACACATGTAGACAAATTTCTGAGCTCTCTTTTCTGTTGCATCGATCTACGTAACAGTCTCTGAGTTATAACGGTACTGTTGTAGTTACTATAACTGTGATATATTTTGAAATCACAAACTGCCGATGCTTTCAGATTCTTTTACATTTATTTATTGGGGTGGGGTGTGAGGCAGGCCACAGTGTATGTGTGGAGATCAAAGGATAACTGTGGGAATCAGTTCTCTCCTTCCACCACCCGAATCTAGAGGACCAAACTCAAGTTGTCAGGCAGGACAGCAAGTATCTTTACCCACTGAGCCATCTTGTCATCCCAATGCCCCCATTTTTGTCCCTTTTTTCTCAAAGCTGTTTCAGCATTAAGTTCTTCTTTGGTTCTGTAGGAATTTAACTTTACCTTTCATATTTCCACAAAAAAAAAATGCCTTTGGAGTTTGGAAAGGTATTACACTGAGTCTTCAGAATTGAGTACCATGAATACTTTGATAATATTAAGCATTCCAATCTATAAGTACAGGGCATCTTTCCATTGGCTTCTGTGTTCAATTTCTTTCATCAAAGTTTTACAACTGTCAGTGTACCGGTCTTTTACCCCCTTTGTTACATTTAGTCCTAAGCAATTCATCCTTTTTACTACTACTGTAAATGCAATTTTAATTCCTTTTCATATAGTTTCTTGTCAATGTAGAAACAAAACTAATTTTGGATGTAGATTTCTCTATTTTATAAACTTACCAGGTTTACTTATTAAATATGCCAACACATTTTTATCTTTAAGTATTCTATACATAAAAATCATATTATATTCTTCCCTTTCAGCTTTTCTTAACTATAACTTGATTCTCAAGGAAAATTTGGAAATTATTCACTAATGGAAAATTAAAGCCTCAAAGTACAGGTTCACAGTCCATTTAAAAAACAGACTACTAAAATTGCACAACCAAATCGTTTTCTGCACAGAAAACTTACTATCGCATATCTCCATTACAAAAGCTTTATTTAAATCCTAGCCTATGATTTTCAGCTGTGAGACTTACACAAAGGATCCAAATCCTCTCTGCCACAATTTCATTTGTAAGCAAGAGACAATAACACTACTTGCAGGATTGGATGAGGATTTAAGCTAAAGGAAAATCTTCCAAAGAAGCCTCCCACATAGTAAATGCAAACATAGTGCATGTAAGGAAAGGTTGTTTGGAAGGTTGTCAGTCCATGCTTTGGGCCTCTAATTTCACTACTCCTGGACCCAGGCTCTCCACAAGTGCCACCTGCTGGTGTGACATCAAGTCAGTCACAGCTTCCCCAGCTACAATGTTCTCATTTGCCACAGGAGCATATTTACTTTTAGTTATTTACTTATTCCAACTGGAGAAACTGTTAACATAAAGTAAAATATTAAACATGAAAATTCTTTAAAAAGCCCAAGCTATTTCACAAACATAAGTGCTGAGTGGGAGGCCACTCACCTATTTTGCAACCAGGGAAGAGCAAAGGGCCTGATGGAGCAGGTTAGAATACATGACAAGAGTGATTTTCTGAGGACTGCAGTTACTTCCCTTGTGTACTGTTCTATTTCTCTGCCCCCAGGACGGCAATGGATACATAGATGAAAATGAGCTGGATGCCTTACTGAAAGACCTGTGTGAGAAGAACAAACAGGTAATCCAGTTCCCACCATTTATTTCCTAAGCATACTTTAAGGAACTACCCAGAAACAACCATACATCTATTCAGAAATCTACTCAAAAAAATTTACAGAGGAGCAGAAACAGATTTTGAGTTTTAATTCAATTTGCTTGTAGCTGAAATTGGTTTATAGTGCTAAACAGAATTTTTAAAGAAACAACTTGTGGTTATTCACAGTTATAGAAGAATTTAGTCTAGTTCTTTTCTTAATGGTTTGCTGTAACAAGCAATTTGGGTCTCACATTTTATCACTGGGCAGTAGTTAACTACCTTTGCTGTCTAATTGGATTACAATGCCATCTATGTCCTATACAGGATCTGGATATTAACAATATTACTACATACAAGAAGAATATAATGGCTTTGTCGGATGGAGGGAAGCTGTACCGAACAGATCTTGCTCTTATTCTGTCTGCTGGGGACAACTAGAGTTGGTGGCCATAACTACTTACTAGCGATACATTGTATCTAAAAGCATTACTGTGCACTAGGAAGGAGTAGGCTGTATTTTCTTTTATATCTGTAAATTTCACTGCATATAGAGAATTATCCAGGATGTGTGGCACATTCTTTTCTGCTTGTTTCTATACTGTTTGTAATGTACAGTTTTGTAACTATATATTGAAAAGGAGAAAGTTCATGCTTAGGCCAGTCAGTTCAACCAGTTAAAAAATTAATCTAACATGTTTTTTGCTTTCATAAATACAGCTGATATTTCCCTAAAACTTCTACCCAGATTAATCTCAGATATTCTAGTGTTCAATGTGTGAATACACATCTGTCACTGAGTAAGAAATAACACATAACAAGCCAAGCATTTTTATTTTAGACAGTCACAGGACTGTCCCACAGAGTCCTTCTAAGCTGTATTTCCACCTATTAGAAGGGATGTGCTTTTGCATCTGAAATACCAAAATATCAATAGCTAGTTAATTATGGCTTTGTTATATAACAGTTTCCCTAGATATTTAGTTTATTAACCAGTGACCTGTCTACTGCTTAAATAGATACCACACTATTGGCTCAAGTTGATTTGGTAGCAAGGGAAGGTAGTCAGATGACACAATTCTGTCTGATTCTATGCCTATATTTCCAACAAGTCTACTGCCAGAGAGTATGACCTTAACCCATTTTCTAAATTATTTTCATGTGTTTCAGATTATGATTATTCTAGCAAACTGCTGTTCTATGTCATATTCTGTGTGTGCTCTCTGATTAAATTTAATGTACTGAGTATCCTGGTGTCTAGTTTGCATACTTCCGGGATTTTCTATGTAGAACTGTTCATTTCCACCAAGGGTATCTGCTGCCTCTGAAAATATTTTTTTCTAGCTATAACTACTCTATTTTTTACTATATAATTGAATTTTAATGTAAAATTCCTAGTAACCTGATTATTGAATGTTATATCATCAATACTTTTGTGTATCCTGTGGATTCTATATTTCATACTGAGATCAGACAAAATAGCTCTATTTCTAGCTGCAGAGTTTCAGATGAATTAAAAATAGACTCAGGAGAGAATTAATAATATAATCATTTATCTTATCTAGAAAAGGAGATTCTAAAGCCTTCTTTGACCCACATGTATCTCAATTTCATGTATTTTTAGCTAGAGTAGCCTATACTGGTATAGGTGACATATAATGGTCACTGACCTCAGGTTCTTTATTACTAAACGAGGGACAATGACAGAGTATGTGAAATTTATAGTTCCTGCCAGAGTTAACGGAGGTCTGGGTCAGCTTGAATATTCCCATTCAAAAATTATTTTTTTCCATTCGTAATAATAACAAAAAGTATCAGCTCTTTCCCTCAAGAATGAATACAAAAGAGATCTGAAAAAAATTAGCCCAAGATGTAAGCGTGTGGTCGACTGGCTTTGCCGCAGTGGGTAGTCGGAAACAGCAACAGCAGACTGAAACTAACCACTAAAAATAAAGAAAATTATCTTAATCTCTTGTATTTGTTTCTTCTCCAAAGTGTAGTTGGCATGTAATCTATAGTCAATCAGGGTGGAAATGTAGTGAACTTGAATTATTATCGCCTAAGGATTCTAAACAAATGCAAATTTGATTCAATGAATTACTTCATGACTTGCTGAATTATGGAGAACCTCTAAGATTAACAAAGAAATCTCCTAGTTAGAGATATTTTTTGTCCAAGTGAAATAATCATATATTTTTCATGCAAGGCCTAAAAAGAAATAAAAGCATATAAAAATTTCTGCATTTCATTCATAGAAAAATGGCTGTTCACTACAAAATATACACCAAAACTATACCAAGTTTGACATTCTCACAACAATGACACCAAAAACTTACAATAGGTGTGATGGTAATATTTCGTTTGTTGATATTTTTCCTGTTTTGTTTCGGGTTTCTGTTTCTTCATTCATTTTTGAGACAGGGTCTAATCACATAGCCAAGGCTGGCCTTGAACTCTTGATCCTTCTGCCTCAGCACCCCTAGTGCCAGGACTACAGATAAAAGCCACTACACCCAGCACTGACTGGGTGTAGTATTTCTCAAGAGATGCCCTGGAAAGCTGATAGTAGCAGTGGTTATCAATCTAGCACCAAGACCATCATAGTGGACTCAGGCTCCTGAGCAGTATTACGCAGAAATCTTATACTGCAATCAGTTGCATTTACTCAAATGTAACAGATCCTCTCCCTTAGGCAGAAAACAAGGTGAAGAACTAAAAAGGATAATGAATCTAGAAAGATAAATGTAAAGCTGCAGCACAGTGCCTACTTCACAATATGAACACATTTATTTCAAGTTTAGTTCCAATCCAAATATAAACAAATAATAGAGTATGTTCACTATTGCAGGCAGGCAAATAGATTTTTTAACTATTCAGAAAAAAACATTGAAAAATTGTACTCTATTATAGCAAATTAAGAACATCTGTTCACAAAAACACATTACTGAGCGTGAAAAACATTGTAACTGACAAAGGCATATAGCCAAAATACATAAATATTACTTCTAAATACAAACTTTTAAAAATAAAATCCAACTGATAAACATGGTTGAATAAGTATTTCACAGGAGGACATTTAGATACCCTATAAACCTTTAAGAATAACTAATTTTATGGCTATTTATGAGAAATACAAACAACTTGACACAATAGGCCTTAAGACAAATGACAGAAAGTATGAATTCCAGTGGGAGGGGGCTTCTATGGTAGGGTGCCAGTGGGGAAGGGAGTATAAAGATGATTAAGATTGAATGAGATGTTCTGTATGAAATACACAAAAATTTAATTAAAAAAATAAAATTAAATTTAAAAAGTAAAGCCCTACCATCTCACAGGCTTGACTGCTAAACATTAGTGAGGCTGTGGATGCATAGAAAACCTCCCTCCCACTGCTTGGTGGGAGCTTAAAGTGTAAACGCTTTGGAAAACTATTTGAAAGTATCTAGTAAATTTGAACATATGCATACCCTATAACCTAGCCATTTCACTCCTACATGTTATCAACCTACTAGAGAAAGCTGTGTATATTTTCACCCAGACAACACACATATTCACAGCAATACTGCATTTGAGGAGAGACTCAAACTAGAAACAATTGAAATGTCCATCAACAGAACTAACAAACTGTGGTACGCACATCTGTATTACATCCAAAGGAATGTTGTAGACCAATGAGCAAGCATAAAAAGCTGCTACACAGAGAAAAGCCAGAAACAGAAAAGTACAAATTATACAAATTTCAAAAGCAGTGTAATTATTGTGCTAAATGTTAAGATAGTGGCTAGTCCTAGGAAGGAAGTGGGAATTCCTGGTGGGGGGCAGGAGGGAAGTTTCTGGGTTCTTAACAATGTTCTGTTTCAGAACATTATGTGTATTGATTTTATGACAATTTATGATGTGTTCTTCTTTAATTAAAAAGATTTTTAAAGTGGACTTTTTCCATTTTAAGTCTTTTATACTGTAATTATAGGTTGTAAAGGCTCAATAACTTAAGAACTTAGACAACTAATTGGGCCAGAGATTGGGCTTGACTGTGCGACTTAGTACAAGTCATATAACTTCCCTGGGTCTTTAGTGATTTCCTCAATTGAAAATGAAAGGATTTAGAATAAGTATCTTCCAAGGCTTTTCCTGGTCTAAAATTCTATTATTCAAAGTCACTTATACTTTTGCTGCATCTGTTTCCATGCGAACAATAAAGAAACAATGACTCTCACTCTATTCTGAAATATTTACTAAGATTTTCACATAGTAATTGTGGTGGCACTGCTACCAAAAATCCTTTCTTTGATTGACTAAGTGTGAACTCTTCACACTTGTCAGCGCAATGGAAGGATTCTTACAAAAAGTACTAAACAGAATATCAGTAACCATTCTTAAGGTGACACAGTGAAGCAATTATACTTCAAAGGTGGCCAGTCACTGAAAATAGTGAGTATCCAGCAACATGTTTTCTCTTTCATACTCAGAAGGAAATGTCTTAGTAGAAGAACTTCAAAGAAGATCCTCTGTGCTGTGCTTGCAACCTGTGCTCCCTCATCCATCTTTTCTAATAATGAGGAACCTGAAAGATAACTATAAGAAGAAATTTTACATATATAT